CGTGGTGTTCCTCAGATTGAAGTCACATTTGATATTGATGCCAATGGTATCCTTAATGTTTCTGCTGTTGACAAGAGCACTGGGAAAGAAAACAAGATTACCATCACCAATGATAAGGGCCCCTTGAGTAAGGAAGACAATGAACGAATGGTCCAGGAGGCTGAGAAGTACAAAGCTGAAGATGAGAAGCAAAGAGATAAGGTGTCTTCTAAGAATTCCCTTGAGTCTTACGCATTTAATATGAAAGCAACAGTTGAAGATGAAAAGCTTCAAGGCAAGATCAATGATGAGGACAAGCAGATCCTTGACAAGTGCAATGAAATTATCAACTGGCTTGATAAGAATCAGACTGCAGAAAAGGAGGAATTTGAGCATCAGCAGAAGGAACTAGAGAAGGTCTGCAACCCCATCATCACCAAACTGTACCAGAGTGCTGGAGGCATGCCCGGAGGCATGCCTGGTGGCTTCCCTGGTGGTGGAGCTCCTCCATCTGGTGGTGCCTCTTCTGGACCCACCATTGAAGAGGTTGACTAAAGCAATCTGCATACTTTACAGCATTCATTGTCCCACAGTTAAATTTTGAAGGACCCAAATTTGTAGCACACTGCAGTTGAAAAGTCTAAACTGCTAGACTAAATTTCTGGGCATTCTCAATACTTGAATGTGGAATGTGTATAGGGAAAGGAATTAACATTGCACTTTATTATCACTGTATTGTAAGTGGAAAATGCAATGTCTCAAATAAAGATGTATTTAAAATTGGCACCATAAAAAGAAAAAAAAAGTTACTTTCTCTTCACAGCTGAATAATATTGCATTGTATGCATGGACCATATTTTCTTTCTTTCCTTTTTTTAATTTTATGCTGGTTTTCTTACAAAGTTCATATACAGTGTTTTCCACATTGGATCTTTCCCCTTTTCTTTACCTACCTTTCCCTCCACTCATCAAATTGTGCAACGCTATGATTAAGCCCCTTAATCCATTTCCTACTGATGAGCATTTTAAATGTTTCCACCGTTTGGCTGTGGTGAAAAGTGCTACAATGAACCTTCGTACACAAGAGTCTATTTTCATTCTTGCTTTCATGTCTTCTGGACATGTACCTTGAGCTGGGATTACTGAGTCATTTGGTGGTTCTGTGTTCAACTTTTTGAGGAACTACTAAGATGTTTTCCATCTTGACTTTGCCATTTTACATTTCTACCTCCAGTGGGCAAGCATGCTAGTTGTTGGTTTTAATCACTATACTTAAAAAGATTAACTAGCGTGCATTCAGAGAGGGTAAAAAAAATAGTAGAAAAGGCATTCAGGAGTCTGGAAGTTTTTCTCTAGAAACCCCTCAGCCTATTACTATTAGCCTATAGAGGATTCTGGATGGGTAGTGTAGAGGTCACCTAGTGACTGGGTGCTTTGACATGAGAAGTACAAGCGGCTCTGGAGAGAAAAGTGAAAACTTCCACATGGAAATGATAAGACACATTTCAGCTCAGTGTGAGAAAGAACTTTCTCCACATCAGTAGTCTCTAATAGCATATTGATTGCTTCTCAAGACATATTCTCTGTCCCTGGGGTTGTTGCAGTCCAACCAGCTTTCCTTCAGGGCTGTGCTGATCATCAAATCGGAAGGAACAGTGCATCAAAAAGGCACTTTTTGGACTCGAAAATGCTGCAGAAATGATAAGTGCTTATTTATTACTGTCCATTTAGGGACTTAGCCTTGTGGGATAGTTTGAACTATATCATGCTTCTGATTCCCTCCTTCTAAAAATTCCACACAAATATCATAAAATAGATGGTAAGAGAATGCTTCAGAAAATTGAGTGCTATCAAATACTTTACATCTGTGCATTTGATTAACATTAACGTGCTCATAGGTAAATATCCTTGCTAATTAAGCCTCTTTTCGTGCTTGAAAACACTTGGTTAGCTATTTGCTTGTGTTGCTATTACATTCTGGAAATAAACACTTTTAAAAAAAAAAATCCAGTTGCATTTAAGTCACTCATCTGTCAATAAGGTGATTTCCTGCGAACTTCACCAGTCTTTTTCTAAAATTTAGGCTAGAATTGGGTTACTTGCCAATACGGAATACAGGCCAGAATACAGCCTGACTCCTGGATCACAGGAGCTGGAGGCATCCTGTCCTGTGCGGGTAAAAATTGTTCTGAGCAGACACAGTCATTCCTCTTATGAATGTGCAGACACTAAGGTATGGAGAAAAAATGCTCACTGATGCTTAAACCAGTTGGGATCCCCTAGTGTGAGCTCCCATCCTCCTTCCTCTGAGATTGCTATTGTTAGCTGCCACTGAGTTGATTTTGCCTCAAGGCATTTGTGACAGAGTAATCCATAAGAATTCCTGGCTGTAATCTTTACAGAAGCAGGTATCTCCAGGATATTGGGTGGGTTTGGATCACCAATCATTTGGTTAGTAGCACAGTGCTTGACTGTTTGCACCACCAGAGTGTAACTTCTAGGATTACTATTGCATTTGGCTAAAGTAAGAAGCTTCAGAAGCTATTGTCATTTGGTGTTTCCTTTTGCCCACATTTAAGGAATTCTGATAGCTTAGTGCATGATGAGAAAGATGGGTCATCTCCTACCATAAGAATTTATAGTCTTGGTAACCCAATGGATGGTTGCTATGAGTCCAAACTGGCCCACTGGCCCCTGGCAGTGGATTTGAGTTTTCACCTACAATTAGTAAGTAAAATTAACTTCCTCAAGAAAACCACCTAAGAGCTGGTTCCTTTTTGATGTAGGAAACAGAGGCTTTGCCTGGAAAGGTGTATATGTATGTATGGGAGTGACAGGAGCCGGGTGGTCTTACAGCCTCCTTTAATGGTGGGTCTTTCACAAGAAACAGCCCACGGCTTCTGAAGCAGCACTTCCCAGTGTCTCTCCCTTTACACTCTTACTTCGGCCAATTGGAAGGAAATAATTTGTCTAAAGAGTTCATCTACCTCCCCAAAACCTTGACATGGCACAATGGGTGGCTGGTTACTTCTACGCCTAGGCAAACACCAGATAGTATAAGCAGAAAGTTACCTTAGTAGCATAGCAGTGAAATGAGATTCCGTATTCTGTGCTGTCTTTGAGCTTTTGGGTCTGAATGTCATCCGTGAAGTCTCTTTGGATTACAGGCCTGAGAGGAGTCTTTACAATCATATCACTTAGTCCAGGAACACAAATTGGATCCGACACATTCATCACCCACCATGGCTTGTGTTTTTATCTCATCATGGTCTCTTCTGACATTACTGGTTGCAGATCTGAGGCTTATGTGCCTCTACTTGCTGGAATATTTAAAGAATACCAATGTTTGTAGAAATAATAAATTATTCTTACCAGAAACAGTAAAGCCTTGTCAGTATAGGGAACGAGATTTACATATGGACAGGGTATTAGTATTGTGAGTTGATCACATGATACCATAGTTACACAACCTCCTAAAAATTTTTACTGTTATCAAGCCAGTTCTGACTCATAAGACCCTTCATCAGATTTCTGAAGCTTTAAATCATTACAGAAGGAGGCTGCCTACCTTTCTTATGAGAAACAGCTAGGGAAGTAAATCTGAACCTCTAAACTTTGGCTTAACAGCCCAACAGGTAATGCACTACACCATGCTGTTGTTGTTACTATTCTATGCCATCGAGTCACTTGCAACTCTTAATGACCCTATATACAACAGCCCTGAACCTTACTTTACCTTGAGCCAATTTCATTGTCTCTGATACACCTACCTCCATTAGCCCAATCACTGACTCAATCCATCTCATCTAGGGTCTGCCTCTCTTGTGCTGTCCTCCTACCCTTCCAAGCATGATATCCCTCTCCAAAGACTTGTCCCTCCTTGCAACGTGTCCAAAGTATGTCAGAAGAAGCTTCAAAATCCTTGCCTCCAAGGAGTAGCCTGGTTTTACCCTCTCCAGGACGAACCTGTTTGTTCTCCTGGTGTTCTGTGGTATAGTCAATACTTTTCCTCAGCACCACAGCTCAAAGGCATAAATCTACTTCTGTCATCTCTAGTATTGTCCAGCTCTCTGATGCACAGCAAGTAATTATGGAGACCAGGGCCTTGATCAGGTGCACCTTACTAAGGATTGTTTCTCTTCTCTCACTTCTCTTCAAATTATCTTGAATTTAAAGCTATATCATGAGCAGCATGAGTAAGATCCTTTTCTTCATAGGGAAAAAAAATGTGAGATTTATGGAAATAAGGAGCTTTGTGAGTAAAGAGTGACTTGGAGTAAGCTATATGACCACCAGAAGATTGCAGTATTAGTTTTAGAATGCTAGGAAAAAAAGATAGCCAAGATATTCCAGATGCTGTGCTGCAGATAGAATTTCCTTGGTGTCTTCCAGAACTGGAAGACTGACACACCAGAGCTCTACCTACTGGGGAAAGGGGGAAGGGGGCCACCGGGTCAGCTGCGGTGAGAGGGCCCTGGTTAGTCCTACCTAACGTACAATCTGGTACAGCTCTGTCAGACCCCAGTACACATTTGCAAGATTTTTACAGCTGGTCAAGCTGTGTGCTGTCAAATGACAACGCCACTTTTCTGTAAGCAGCAAAGGATGCACTTGTACAATTCAAAGTTGGTTTTGTTTGTTTGCTTCCTTGAAGATTAATTTTGTTTCAGAAGCATGCACAGTGTCTGTATGTTTATATTAAAATCCATGTTGGGACTTGAATACCTTTTGTGTTCCTTCTGAATTGCAATGACCTTGTTTGCTTGTATCAGAAGCACGTTTGTTCTGTTGTGTTTAGTTTTACTTCATACTTAGGAGCCGGGAGCGGGGACATCCAGAAGCTAGTGTCATGGCAGATAAGATGCTGCAATGTGTACCTTAGGCCACTGCTTCTGCCTTGAACTACCTTCAAACAAAGGGAAGGCATGAAGCACTGTCAAGGAGGTTATATCAGATAGTAAAATGAATGTCGTTACCAACCATGCCACATCTGTTATAATAAGAAATCTCTTTTCTTGCAGAGAACATAAAACCCTACACCTGTTATAAAATCCGTGTACATGCGCTGTTAGGGGACAAGACAGGATGCAACTCCACTCTGCGTGACACTCAGCACCGAGGTGAGCTTTCGGACCTTTTGCCACATTTTACTTCAGTTCAATGATTTTTATTTGAGGATAATTAAAGATTTTTGTGTTCTACTTATAGCACCCCTGAAAGGCCCCCATATTAGTGAAATTACAGAGGAAAAGGGAGGCGTTTTGATTTCATGGAACAAAATTCCAGCCCAGGAGCAAATGGGCTGCATCCTGCATTACAGGATCTACTGGAAGGAACAGGACTCGGAGTCTCAGCCTCGGTTCTGTGGTATGTGTGAGAACCAGATGCTTAGGCTATTGGCATTTGGTTCTTCAGTCACCTCCAACACAGGGCAACCCCACGTACAACACACTGAAACCTTGTCTTGTCAGCTTCACAATTTCCACAGTGCTTAAGCCCATCTCTGCAGTCGCTGTTCAGTCCGTCTCACTGAGGCTCTTCCTCTCACTGAGGGTCTTCCTCCATTTAGCCAGCCCTCTACCTTTCCACACATCATATTCTCTTCCCAGCACTGGTCCCTCTGGACAACACGTCCAAAGTATGTAAAATGAAGTCTCACACTCTTTGCGGCTAAAGAGCACTCCAGCTACACTTCCAGATAGACTTGCTTGTCCTTTTGGCAGTCCATGGACACTCAGTACTCTGCCGGACCCACAATTCAAAGGCATCAGTTTCTTCTTCAGTCTCCTTAGTCATTGGCCAACGTTGACATGAATACGAATCAACTGAAAAGACTATGGCTTGAGTCAGGGGCATTTTTGGCTTTGAAGTGAAGTGCTTACTCGTAAGCACTTTCAAGAGGCCATGGCAGGAGCTTTACCCAGATGTCAGGAAAACACATAAAGCATGTGTGTGTGCACCCAAAGAGGTTCTTAATATTTTCAAAATTATTTTAGTTTAAAAAAAAATTTCTACATACCTATAATGAAGCATTGTTGGTTCAGGGATAGAATTCAGACCTGAGTCTGAATGCACTCATAGGTTGCTGCCTTCTATCTTTTCTGGTGGCTTCCTTGTTGCCATGATGTTCAACAGATTTTAGAAGAGTTTAAAGACGAGGAAGAAAGGCCTGGTGACCTTCTGCTGGAAAATCAGTCCATGAAAATGCTGAAGCACAACAGTCCATTCCAAAACTGATTATGGGAATGATACAGACTCAGGCAGTATTTTCTTCCATTGACCCAAAGACTAACTTGATGATAGCTAACAACAACCACCTTGTGTTGTTGTTATTGTGTACCATCGAGTCAGACCCAACCCAAAGCTGACCCTCTGGTGGGTTTTCAGAGACAGTTAATCGCACAGGAGGAGATTGTCCATCCTTCTCCTGCGGAGCAGCTGGTTGTCTTGAACCACGTACCTTTGGGATTGCAGCGCAGCTCCTTGCCAGTAGGCCACCCAAGCTCCCTAGTTACTGAATATGCTACATGGCAAACAAATTGCTAAGAATAGGGAAGTGGAAAACATGGACTAGGCTCAAGCTGCTTAATGAGAAAGACTCATGTTTCAAAATGCAGTAAAGGCACTTAAATACTGTATAGTTTAGGGGGTTCAAAAGTAGTGTATTTGTAAAATTCTTAAATTCTTACATTTGTAAATGCTACCAAAGCAGCATCTTTTCTCCCCATAGTGATAAAACACAATACAATTTAAGTAACTCCTTTTTGTTGTTGTTCTTGTTAGATGACGTCCCACCGACTCTAATTCATAGTCTCTCGAAAGATTGAAACCCTGCTTGATCCTGTGCCATCCCCACAATCTCTGTTGTGCTTAAACCCATTGTCGCAGTCACTGTGCGAGTCCACCTTGTTGAGGACCCATCTCTCCTCTCCTCTGACCCTCCACTCTTGCAAGCATGATGTCCTTTCCCAAGACCTGGCTTCTCTTGACGACATGCCTGAAGATGGGTGCATTGGCTAAACAAAGTCTCACCATCCTTGCTGCTAAGGAACATCCTGGATGCACTTCTCCCAAAACAGGTGTATTTGTCCTTTTGGCAGTGCATGGTATATTCAGTATTCTTCACCAGTACCAATACAAAGGCAGCGAGTCTTCAGTCTTATTCATTGTCCAAGTTTCATATACATATAAAGCCACTGAAGTGACTACAGCTTGAATCAGCTGTGACCTAGTCTCTAAGCTGATATCCTTGCTCTTTTGTATTCCAAATAAGTCCTTGTCCGTGTTGTTGTTGTTGATTGCCTTTAAGACTTGCCCAATGCCAATGCATAAGTAATCCGTATGACTGGTAACTACCATATCTCAAAGACTAAAGAAAATAAACTCAATTCTGGCTGGAGTTTTATCTCAAATGATCTCAAGGATCACTCATTCGTGTAATAGCCCCAAGTCACTTGCCAGATCTGATGTTCTAACTTTGATTTTTGCAAAGCTTCACCCTCACCCATCCCCCAGCAGTTCAATTTTCCCTTTCTGGAAAGTGGCTGACATTGTTTTCAGGAACGTTTATGATAAACAATATTTTAGCCTTCAAATGAGTTATTAGATCTCCGAAGAAAGTAGCAAAACCACTCTGAGCAGTAGATGCAGAGAACTGCCTGCCAGGGTTTTTGTTGTTTTGTTTTGGTTTTTTTACCCAGGAAACGTATATAAGTAGTAGTTGGATGTGGTAAAAACAGTAAGACAATTCCAAAAGTTATGTAACAATAAGCCTTCCTTCCTCCACTCTTAGGTCTACACTCCTCACAGGTAACCACTGTTAGTCATTCCTTGTATTTTCTTTCAAAAAATAACAACAGTACTGTGCATTCAAACATATAATTGGGTGCTTATTCTATATTCTGAATTGCACCTTGCTTTCATCTCACAATAGTACATTCTGAAGATCTGTACACGTCTGTCTGTCTGGATTTGCTAGTTTGCTTTTTCAACTCCGTATCATTCCATTTAAGAGTTTTACAATCCGTCATGTATTCAACTAGACCACATTGGTGAACAAGGGATACTGAACAGAAATGCTTCACACTGGACATGTCAGGTAACGTTGTTGTTGTGTGCCCACAAGTTGGAACCAACTCATTGCTGACCCTCCAGAGAATTTTTAAAGGGAGGCAGGAGTGGTTTCTACTTCCTAAACCACATGCCTCTGGAAATTTTATGGACTTGGAGAAGCAATGATAGCTATAGAAAGGCATTCGGTCTTTTGTTCATATATTTGCTATGAGTCGACCTCAACTCGACAGCAATCAACAACAAAAACCACAACTTAAATGACATGAGCGGAGATTGCTCATCTTTCTTCCTTCAGTGTAGCTGGTGAATTCGAACTATGTCCGAGTTGGCAGCACAACTCTTTACCCATGATGCCACCAGAGCTCTGAAATCTATGCCAAGAAGAAAATAATGAATCAACAGCTTCTTGAGCTGTTTGAAAAGACTCGTAGTGGTGCAGTGGTTAAGCATTTAATTGTGGGCCATGTGGGACCGAAACCCACCAGTGAGTCCTGGGAAGGAGATGCAGTAGTCTGCCTCTGTAAAGCTTTCCAATCTCGGGAACCCTTGGCGGCCGTTCCCCTCTCTTCTGTGTGGCTGCTGAGTTGGCATTGACTCAACAGCAAGGAGTTTAGGCTTGGAATTGGATCATTTGGAATTCTTCATATGAAATTTGCTCAAAAAAGAATTTTCTTTTTGGCAGAGTTTAAATAGAGATGCCTATTTACAACCAGAAAGACGAACATATTCCCTTGCTTTCTGAAGTAGCTTCTGTTCATGTTAAAGAAAATACTTTCTTTATTTTGCCACAAATCCAATTAATCTAAAACTTACATAAGGATATTTTTAAACGAGTTTAAAAAGAGGGACAAAAACTCATAGCCCTATTTTAAACCTGTTTCTATTGTATTTCCATTTAATTTGTTTAGATCTTATTGAGTTCACCATCTAGTGAGGGAGATGGAAAAGTACAGAAATGTGATGAAGTGTGATAATCAAGAACTGACAACTACCCATTGCATCTGGCAAGCAGACGTCATTGATGAATGCGCTGGGCAGTGTCCTGAGAATGGCAGGGACACTAGGCTGAAGGGGAGGGAGAAAGGTGCCAGGAGAGGCACACACATGCCAGGGGAAGACGGAGCTCCTGGGAAGCAGGGGCCATCTCACTAGTTCACTGCCATGGATGAATTAGCCATAGTACTGATGACACACACATGAAAGAGGTGCATTAGTGCTACCTGATCAAGAGAGAAGTGTTAAATAGAGCACCAAGGAGTCTCTGATTGGTGCAAACAGTGGGGGATCTAGTCCCAATGAAAAGGTTAGTGGTTTGAACCTCCTAAAAGAACCTTGAAAGACAGGCCTGCTAATGGGCTTTCAAAGGTTACAGCTTTGAAAATTCCTTGGCGTTTTCAAAACCTTATATGTGAGATCTCCGTAAGTTAGGATCAATTCAACAGTGAACAACTAGACATTTGCACTTTATAGGTTCTACAGGCGAGTCTGATGCCCAGTTTTCCCTCTGGGATTTGTTGGCACTGTTGTGTGCTTCAGTGGCAAGCTGCATTTCTCTACTGGAGCACACAGACTTTGCTACTACTTGATTGTCTTCTCCAACAGACTGTAAACACTGTGCGGGCTGAAGCCATGGCAGGTTTGCTCATCACTGTCTCCCTGTACCTGAAGTAGGGCCAGGCCTATGGTAGGTGGTTAATCAATACTGTTGAATAACAAATGATTAATTCTGCCAAGTCCCTGGGTAGTGCCACTGGTTTATCAGGTTAGCTGCTAACCAAAGATTATTGGTCAAGTACACTCAGAAGCATCATGAAAGAAAGACCTGGCTTTTCCACTAAAAACAAACAAACCAACCAGCCACTGAAAATCCAATGAAACACAGTTCTACTCTAATATACACGGACACCCTTGAGTCAGAATGGCAGTTGGTTTTTTGCTTGGATTTGGTGGTTTTGAATAAAGCTCCCACTTTTTGTCAAAACACTGGAGATTGTTAGATGAAAAAAATCATTTCAATGTAACAATGATGCTATATTTTTTTTCCTGACACCATTCACTAGGCCTTCATTTCCACAGCATTTTATCCTAAAGCGGTGCCTTTGTCATTTAATCACACTGAGCCTAAAGTCTCTGCATGGCCTTCTTTATCTCTGCCAGAGATCAAAGCCCAGATGGAGGCATCAGGACCAGTTTTTCCTGTTTGACTTCTTTCTTTCATTGATCAGCTAGCTCTGTGTGGCCAGATACTGTCATCCCCTCAACTGTTCACCCTGTAGAGCCTCTCTCTCTCTCTC